CCATGTTACTGACCGTAGTGCTGTCACAAGACTGTGAGAGTCACAAGAATCTTATATAAGTATGTACTGTACTGTATATACACGTGATTTCTAGACCTGCCCCAGTTGCAACACCAAGCATCTGGTTTGCGTTTGCTGGTTGGTTGGTCTGTCCCATGCATTTGAGCAAACACAAACCAGATGTTTGGTGTTATCCACTGGGGCAGGACTATAAATCACGGGTTTTCTGTATGGGGAATATTGACTATAGCTATGTTCTTGCATATTGATGTGTGAGCTGGGGGAGTGGGATTTATCATATGATTTATGAACGAGAGGGTGCAGCTGTGTTTTCTTATTCCTAAAGGTATCACACACATCCTCGTGTAGGTTCTCAGCTCCTTGTGATGTTTGTGCTAACCTTCTTAGTCCTTACAACTAATTAGATCTCCAAACATTAACCTTCCAATGCCCTCCTTATGGGTATCTTGCAGAGCAATCATGTTGTGTCAGTGCATTTTCCTGGTGTACCATCTCCTTTTTTACTACACTGAGTCCTTCTGTTTCATTCTGCACTTCTCCTGTTAAAATGCCTGTTTGTTCCTTCCTTCTTGCATGCTTTCTATCCTTAGTGCAAAACTGAGGGGCTGGCCAATTACCAGGTAAAAATACTTTACAGCTTTTTGCTTAAGCAATTTAACATTGATTTCATCATGATGTGTTATATTCACCATTTTGAATTTTAGCGTGAATGACATGACTGTATGTGATTTTGTTACGCAGTTTCAAAAGTGTGCCAAAAACAAATTTCCCTCTGGGGGACAAATAAAGTATTATCATCATTATCATGAATTTTACAGCAAACTTCAATACATAACTCACATTCTTTACATTATATGATGATCAAATCAAGCAACTTGTTGAGGAAAGGTCTGCTATTATTTGATGAAACAGATTGGGCTTCGTATAGTTATATATTTGCATTTGGGCTTAAAGATTTTTTGGTAACACTTTACAATAAGGTTTATTAGTTAACATTAGTTAGTTAACATGAACTAAGAATGAACAATACTTTTTAAGTAAAAACCATTTATAAATCTTAGTTAAAGGGGTCATGAATGAACTGGCTTTTTAAATTTTATTATATTGTTGTCTGAGGTCAACTTATGACCTTCGCTTGGTTTTTAACATCAAAATGAATAAGTAATAAGCTATTTTCTACCCTAGTTTTGAGCCTAGCTGAAAAACGCTCGGTTTATGGGCGTCTCGCACTGAAGACTTGGAAGTAAACGCCCACTGCTGTGAGTGGGTAACAGTTTTGCATATTATAATGAGTTTCAACTCACTCGTCGGTTCTGGTCGGTGCACGTGGGGGAAATTGTTTTGAAAACGTCCAATGTTGTAAAATGGCAACCGGAATGATTCGTCCATACATGTTCGACCCAGAGTCCGTGTGTTGCACCATTCCTGTCAGATCCAATATAGACGGCACAGCACCGTTCTTTAGTCTTAATCGGTCTGCAAATCCAGCCTTGTTGACAAAACAATCCTCAGTGAAATGAAGCGAACAGACGGACAGTGTTTTACCTCATCAGCTGGAACGTCATTAAAAATAAGGTTTATCCATGCAGTCTTATTGGAATCAAGAGGAAGCATATGCTGGGACTGTCTTCCACAACCAGGCACCACACAATATTCTGTATTGCTCGGTAGCTCGATCTGGTTTGTCATCACGAGCTAGGCCTATGTTATTTAGCTATGCATGTAATGCACGAATCGTTGGGCAGGGCTAAACCGGCCATGTTGAAGTAGGCGTTGATCTTCTTCTGCGGGGGTGGTATTTTATTCTCTTTGACGTCATAGTTCCCCACTTTGAAAAACGAGTCGTATGCTGAGGCTGGTGTCAGCTTTTATCGGACTAACAAGGACGTTTTCAGTTGTGAAACTTACAGGATATTCTTATAATATGATGACCTCTTAGATGTCAAACGCTCAAGGAAAATTTGAATTCTCAGTTCATGACCCCTTTAATATTAATTTCAACATTTATAATACACTATTGAAATAGTTAATGAACTGTCAACTAATATGAACAAAAAATAAACAGCTGTATTTTTATTAATATTAACAAAGATTAATAAATACTGTAACAAATGAATTCATTGCTAGTTCATGTTAGTTAATACATTAACTATTTTTATCTAATGAAGTGTTACTGATTTTTTTTTTTAATTAGTATTTTAACGTTGATCATCTGTGACAGATGAATTTACATGACAATAAAATTGACTTGAAAATTGAAAAGAAACATTTCCATTTACAAATGCACTGGTCACTTATATTTTGGTTGAACAGTGGAAGTAATACAAGAACAGTGGAAATCTGGTGTAACTTTCCTGCATGCCCAGCCTTTGTTAATAACAAGATGTTTTCTTGCGCATTCAATTTTTCATCACCCACACAGGTGATGTTTTATACATGTATTGTTTTGTCAGTTTCTTTTAAATCATTGTATAATTTGTTTTTTATTTAAAAACAAACGTTTGTGTCTAAATATTTGGTTTTGTTGAATTGCGCTTAAAGCTGAAGTGTGTATTTTTTAAATGATAATAGATAGAAGAGTTTTAAAAAAAAAAGTGCAAATACTATACCACATCTCTGTGGGTCTATCAAAACATTACTCTTAAACCGCAACATTGGCTCAACCAATTGCGTTAATTTTAAGACTGGTCTATGTTTTATCTGACCAATTACATAAATGACACACTTCAACTTTTAGTTCTTTCCTTTTTTGTTTTGCAGTCAGAAATGTGCATTATTCCATTCATGAGCAAAACCGAATGTTGTTAGTCTTGTTTGACATTCATGATATATTTTATGCAGTCTCATTGTGTGTTTTTTTTTCTTATCTCTAACAGTATTTTGAGTGTCCCTATTCATATCTAATATTTTTCTGCTTGTTATGTGCTTCCAGAAAATTCCGAACTGCAGAGTCCAACTCCACCTCCAAACACCTCATGTCTGGAATCCATTACTGAGCAATTTCAGGAGAACACCCCTTTGACTTCAACACAAAGTCCCCTGGATACCTCACCACGTTGTCTCTCCACAACATTGTCTTCACCATTCTCAGCAATAACAACATCTTCCAATGGGGAAAATCCTAGCACTATGAAAAATAATGTGGACATTCTGAAATCATTTGCACTAACCGAGTGTATTGGTCCATCCAGCATCAGAGGCAAGGATTCTTGGAACAGCCAAATCAACTCTTCACTTTCCACAAATTACCTTGACATTGGATGTGATACTCCCCCTCTACCAGACCAGACAGACGGTGAGGTTGTGCAAAAAGCAGACATTAACCCCAACATAGTTGAAATAAAAAGAGGACAGTCTCTAGAGATTGATGCTGTAAAAGCAACAACTGTTATTCAGAGCTCTCAAAGGATTCAGGCGTTGAAGGGGGTGTTTGACAGAGACATTGGACGAAGCCTGCAAACAGGACTGAGGACCCCTGTCAGAAGAACCAAAAGCGAAGGACAAATGAAGGCGGTAAAAAAAGCAGACGGCCCATCAGTGGTCCCCGAAGTCTCCATTGACGCCACTTTAAATGACCGGCTCTGGAGCAAACTCGACCCCAGCAGCCATCGGGATAGTGTGTCGTCGTCTTCCAGCATTTCATCCAATGACACTGTGATTGATTTGTCCTTGCCCAACCTTTCCAGGAAAAGCCTTACCTGTCTTAGTGCTGCCCGGGACTACTCGGACAACCAGGTATCGTTGCCCAACAGGACCAACCAGCCTCGGTCAACCGTCGTGGCATGCAGCGTCTCACGCGTCACCAAGAGCAAGTCCAACCCCAATCTACGAGATGGTCAGATGTGCGAGCCAGAGGACGAGTTACAGCCAAGGCCTCTGGTGGCCGAGAAAGACCCTAGCCGGCTCATGCAGAGGCGCCACACGTGGAGCAGGTTGTACATGGAGGGCTTAAAGCAGTCATCAACGCTTGCTGCTGCTGCTGCTGTCTCCAAGAGGTCCAACCACCCCCTCAACAAAAGACATGGACAGCAACTCAAAATCCAAAAGTCTCGGAGATCTCACTTTCAGATGATATTGTCTGTAATTTCGATAGCAAGTATCGCAGCATTAGTCGCAGTTTCATTGTGAGGCCAAGCCGGCATCAAGGGAAAACTCTGAGAAACCCCCCGAATGACCTAACAGAGCAGCTCAAGCAGCTCACCGACGTGGAACCCCTTACAAGCAAAGACTTTGCTCAGAGCAGGACCGATTCGGAAGTGGGACAGGAAGAAGAGGAGATGCCCTCTTTGCGGAGGAGTTCCTCACGGAGCCAGAGTCGGGTGAGATACATTGCTAACCGTGCCAGGCAGGCCCAAGAGAGGCAGCGGCTACAAAGCCTGACCAGGACATCTGGGAGCCCCATCGAGGAGCGTGGCAATCCTGAAGGAGCTTGTAGTGTACCCCACAGTCCTTGTGCAAGCTTGGATCTTTTGAGCCAGCTTCCACCAGGACCGCCCCAACAAAGCCCCTTGAGCCCAGACAACGAGGTCTTCTTTATGCTTAAGCTGTAAAAGGATGAAAGTGTGGTTGAGTGTTTTGTGGGAAGCAAATGGACACAAGATGGCCACCCCCCACCTCTCAATCATTCAGATACTCCTGTGGATATGTTGAGCAGTCAAACATTTCTTATGTGCACTTACTGTAACACCTTCCATTTGTGGCTTGACGAAAAAAGTTAAAAGCACACACTTTTTCTAATGTCCGTTGTTGACCTATACTCCCAACCCTGTAAAATGAGCCGTTAAATGGGATGCGATGCTAGGTTTTAAACTTTAAATTGGATGCAACCGTTTGCTAGTTTATTTGTAAATGTGCATGCATTTATTGGAAAAAAAGCCAAAGGTGTAAAACCAGAGGATATTTTTTTTTTCTGGTGTATAAAAATATACAAGGTTGCATATAGAAATGATTACATAAAAAAAACAATCTAAATTTAGATTATGCCTGTGGCATTTGTGGTACTGTAATACTATTTCTTTTATGTTTGTTTGTATTTTAAGATGCAACATGCAGCAATAGATAAAAAATGTAAGCACTACTGATTCACACCATAATTCCCTGGATTAAAGGGGTCGTAAAATGCAGTTTCAGATGTGTATATTATGTTTCTCTAAGTTTGTCAACTTTTTTGCACAAAAAAGGTCTATATTTATAAAAGATTTTCTATACTCATTTTCACTTTCTGTAAAAAAACACTCATTTGTCGTATTACAAAAGAATCTATAAGTTTAAAGTCCCCCTGTGGTGAAAATCAAACCCTGTGGTTTTTAAAGGGATACTCCAGTTTTTTGGAAATAGGCTCATTTTACAACTCCCCCAGAGTTAAACAGTTGAGTTTTACCGTTTTCGAATGTATTCAGATGATTTTTTGATATTTAGAATAACATCAGTAACCAGACAGTTTCTGGTCCCATTGACTTCTATAGTATTTTTTTTCCTACTATGGAAGTCAGTGAGACCAGAAACTGTCTGGTTACTGATATTCTTCAAAATGAATGGATTTGAAAACGGTAAAACTCAACTGTTTAACTCTGGGGGAGTGGTAAAATGAGCCTATTTCCCAAAAAAAAGTGGAGTATCCCTTTAAAGTTGTTTATTTGTCTATGGTATTTTTAATATGATTTAAGACAAACCATGTGCAAATTCATAAGTCAACACCATTGCTGAGTAGCCTGGCATGCCAGACCTACATCAAGATGTTAGGTCTCGGAACTCATCATTGACAGGGCTCAATCCGAGAGGCGAGATAAACGGTTGTCTTTCAAATTCTCTCGGCATGCAATTGGATAGCGCTACAGTATAACCATTTAGAGCAACGAAGAAGGTGACGACTGAGTCGCATGCGTTTTTCCACCAGCGGAGCAAGTTGATATATTCAACTTTTACTGTTTCCAGTCCACAAAACTCCGAACACAACATAACAATGACTCAAGTGCCGTTCTTTGTTCTGGTTTCAAAGAAAAGCTGAAGTTCAAATCATCCAGAGTCGCCGTCAAAGCCGAATCGAAAGACAGCTGTTCGCCAGCAGCAGCCATTCTTTGTTTTTAAGTAGCAGTGAACCGTCGCAACTCTGTCGTCGATATGTTAAGCCCGCCCGCCGACTCTATACACGATGTGATTGGTCTGACCAGAGTTTGGTTTTTCCAGCTAAAATGTCTATGGAGAGTTGCTAGACCACATTGGCTGTGAAATAATTTTTGCTGCCACTAGGGTGCGTCTAGATTTCTAGGCTAATTGCTGAGTATTTTCTCTTTAAAACTGTAGTGAACCTAGCTTGACCTTCTTGTCGGAATATGAGTCTGA